GCCCAGCTTGCTCTGAGCTCACGGGACGGCCTTCAGCCTCAGCTGCACTTGCATCTTCTCATCCCAGTGACTTCCAGCCCCTCAGTGCTCCTTGTGCCAGCAGCCCCAGGATGGTCTGGGAGCAGCTGCCCCTGGAGCAGTGCTGGCAGAGCCTGGCAGCTCCTTTGTACCACTAGCAGCCAAACAATGGTTTGTGCTCGTGGCCATGTGCTGAATCACGTGCACCGCACTGTTTCTGCCGGGGTCCTTGCCCATCTGTTCCTGACTCTTTCTGGGTTATCAGGCGCAGGTCCAAGTCCTTGCAGGCAGCCAGCTCTGTGGCCAGAGATTACAAGCACTAACCTTCCTGGCAGGGTGGCGTGGCTTTGCTTTTATGCAGATTAGCCATGTGCTTCTCACTTCAAGGCATTCCACAGGAAAAGAGGTTTCCTGTGTTTGGCTGTGGTGGGCGTCTCTGGTGTGGCCTGGCTGGAGCCACTCATGGTGACTGCGCTCGGGAGAGGGATTACGGAGTGCTGGCCCCCCTTCCCATCCCACCTCCGTGCTACGTCACCACAACACAACCACACGCGTGCTCATACTGTTGGTGTCATTCATTCGGTGCCAAGATTGCTTTAAAAAATTCCCTTGGCCCCAGTTCAAACAGGAGTACAGCTGGGATGTGTTAGATTTTAGGCAGTCTGCCCTCAATTTGAGATGAGTTATAAATAGCAGTGCCGACTTCCTTAACTACCACTCTCCGAGGTAAAATGCAGGTTAATTACTGTGGGAATCAATTAGGGCTTCTCTCGGTTAAACAGCTAGCAACGCTTTTTATTATTTTTTATCACAAAAAAATGGACAACAAACATGGTCAGGAAAAGATTTTGGATCTGAGGTGGGAGCTCGGTGCCTTTTAAATTAGTTTTTTGGCCTTTTTATTTTTATTTTGGGGCAGCAGAGGAAACCAATTGTGGCCAATACCCGCATTTGCCAATAGCTGAGTGACGCTGATTTGAAACCAGAGAGTTCAGTAAGGAGCTCTCCTTCCTTTTCTTCCTCTGGCCTAACAAAATACAAACGTGTAGTAAAGCAATGAAGAAAGTCAGAGCTACTTTTTTTCTGTATGGCTGCAGAGGGTTTGGCTCTGCTCCCAAAGTGGGATTTGTCTCTTCTCTTTACTCCTTTTCCTGCTAGGACTGTAAGGCAAGTCCCCTCCAAGTCAAGCAAGCTGCTCTTTGGAGAAGCCAAACTTTGCTTCTACAGGAGAAAACCTAAGAAGAATTTGTTGTGGAGTCCTCATCTGCTTAGGGGTTTTTTTCACTTATTTTGTTCAGTTTGATTATTTTTAAGGAGAGCTGCACCTGTCTCCTTGCGCAGTGAAGCAGAGCCTCTGGCTGCCGTTCTGTTTCTCTGCTTGGGGCCCCACTCTGTGCTTTCCCATCTCTACCTGCTCACAGCCCCAGCATCCTGGCATGCTTTGGAAGAAGTGTGGGTTTTTGCAGTGCTGTTGCACTGGGGCCGACGCATTATGATTGCAGGTACTGCTTGGAGAGCTTTTTAACTCAGCCTTTGCGGCTTGCTTTGGGCTTGCTGTTACAAGCTCTTACTCTAGGAATATTTTAAATTTTCTTGAAAGCTCAGCAGTTTGTCTGGAATGTTGGTTTTCGGTGGCTTTCATTTCATGCCGTACAAAACAGCTTAGCTTTTTAAAGTTTGACTGGGAACAGAGCTGTGTTTTGCCAAGTTTTGGTGCCTAACAGTGTTGTAAAACAGTGGAGCTACTGAGACTGAAGGGAGAATAGAGGCAATTTCTATGAATGCGAGGAGGTGTAAGCAGGGGGTCTGGACTTCAGTGATCAAGGAGCAACACTTTATCTCAATTATGTCGCTCTGTGGCTGAGCCTTTGCTTTTGAAGTGTAATCACAGTAATCTACTCCTGTGGTTTCCTATTGAAAGGATTTCCCATGTATCAGTCCAGAGAAGTGTCTCCCGCCTTTTGCAGTCAGGGTTTGGTATTTCCTTGTTTATCCTGGAGTGTTCTTAAGCGGGCTCGCTTCCTCTTGGCTCTCCGTCTCATATACATTGGTGTGCAGGGCAGCTCTGCACCACCTCCACTCCCAAAGTCTTTATGAGAGCTCATGGATCGAGCTCAGCTTCTGTATTTTGACTTCGAACATTCCTTTCTCGAGGCACACGTGGTTAAATTACCAACTAGGGCTGAGATAGCAGATTGGAGTGGCACTCCTGATGGCGTGCTCCTGACAACAGAGCGGCGCTGCTAAGACAAGAGTAGTTAAAGCCCTGTTAGTGAAATAGATGTGTGTCTTTAATGGGAGATTTGGTGGGGGAAAATGAAGCGCTACTGCCCGAGATGGGCAGGACGGCCCTGACCAATTAGCTTGTGGTAAGCAGCAAGTCCAGGCCGTGTGTACGGAATGGTTCCTTCACTTGAAAGACATGAATTGGGATTTACATTTCTCTGCTTGGAGAATTTTACCTGTAAAGCTGTAATTCAGAGTGCTTCTTTTCATGTTTGTTTTTAGCATCTCTGTGTGCTACGGCCACAGCTGAAAGATGTTGTGTTTGAAAGCACACCCTGTTGGGCAATGGGCGATGATTGGATCACGTCCTCAAAATATTGTCTGGGTTTTGTGTTGCCTTTTTAAATTTCTTTACAGCTGGAAAAAAAGTTTCTTTCTTTAACAGTCATTGTGTTTCCTGTAAGAGCCACGGAAAAGTGGGTCTTCACCTTGTTTCTTATCCTTGTGGGTGACCACAGACAAGAAAATCTCTGCAGAGGAGACAGCATGTGGTGCGTGCACATTTAAACACAACAGCAACAGAATTAACAGGGATGTATTTGAGAAGCTGTCCTTGCTAGCAGACTGTGAAGATGAGGTAACATCTGGGGGATACAAGTGACAAAGGGAAAAGATACTGCAGTGAGCAGTTAGTAACAAAAGTTGCTCTCCAGCAGATAGCAGCAGAACTGCGCTGGTGCATTTCTTGTGGGAAGAGTGAGCTGTGGGGGCAAGGAAGTAGTCATCCGTACTGCTTTAAGACAGCGAAGAAAACTGTGTGAGGAGGGAAAAGGTGAAACCCACGGAGGTGCTGGTGATGTGCTGGGTGGGTTTGACGGTGAGGCAGCGACACAGGTGATCCTGGGCTCTTGGGACTCCATCTTCTGAGGTGCTGCAGCCTCATCCCATGCTGCTCCTCAGTTCTAGTGGCAGTGTTAGCTTGAAGATTAAACACAAACTTCTTAAGAGCTGTTTCAGTATCAATATATGAGCTTAAGTGGGTGGAAAAAAAAAAAAGGCACAAAGGAGTGTGGTGGGTTGCATCTCTGTAAAACTGGCTTAGGAGAATCGTGCTGGTGTGTTGCACACAGTTGTCCTGGAATGCCTTCTGTAAGATGGCAAACAGTGCTGCAGGCTGTCTGGGGCTGAACTGGAGGGAACTCAGATCTGGTTCCTAATTGATTTCTGCCTTATTGGTTCAAATGGCTCTAAGGGAGCTGGTTTAGCTGGGTGGTAGCACCACTGTACCAACTGTGGGGTGCTTTGCCTGCATCCCCACTAAATTCCCTCTGCTAAATTCCAGCTCGTGCTGCCCTACAAGAGTGCATCGAGCTCCCTGTGGAGCCCCTGCTTGCTTCTCTTTGGCGTGGGCTCGAAGCTGGGCTTCCCTGGCAGGCTGGAAGTAGCAGACAGCTGGTCAAACAAATGCTGTCAGGGTCTGTGTGTTGGGGCTTCAAGCTGTGCTGGCTGTTGAGGTAGGATTTTCTGAAGTGTAGCATACTGCATGAACTTTTTCCTGGGAGGGTGGATTCTGCAAACATAACTGAAATACTGTTCCAGCGTCTGGAATTCTTTATGCTTCCAGCAGGAGCTGGCTTTGTGTGAGTTTGCTTGTGCAGGCCTGTAGTGCCACTCCTCAAGCACCTGATCTCAGCAAGAGCTGGTGGATCTCTGCAAATACCACCCCAGGGCTAGTTGCAGGAAGCAACGTTGTAATAGAGAGTCCATTGTCATGGTGATGTTGTAGAAAACATCTAATTGGTATTAGTTAGGTCGACAGGAGATCAGTGAAATTCCTTATTCCCTGGGAGTGATGGAGGTTAAAGACTATGGCTGGGATTCATTTAGAGGTCACTATGCCAAAGCAGGCTGATGGCAGGTCTTGCTTTAGCGTAGTAATGCTGCTGCTTAAGTAGCAGCATTGTGTTTTGGGGCTTACAATATTTTCAGGATATTTGTTTGACTGTTCCTGTGTCTCAGCTGCAGGCAGAGGTAGTGCAGCTGAGGCAGACCTACTCAAGTTGCATTTACTCATGCGTCTGCTCCAAGACTTATGGACTTGACATTCAAGGCTGACCAGTACTTTTTCATGCATCTAAGGAAATATGATTTAGAATCCTGTATTCTGCAAAAGGCAGCAGACACAAAGCACATGTTAAAAATAATAATAATAAAAAGTAGAACTGCAGTCTATGAACATCAGTAGTGTGGCCAATATTACTGCACCGATATGGATTAATTGAAATGCATAGGTGTAAATTAACAGCCTGTAGTGCTTTGGGAGACCTTGTTATATGTGAAAGAAGAAGTGTTTCTTGTGAATATTTAAATTTTCAGAGTGAATTTACCCTGTTGTGGAGTATCTGGATATTAAACTGCTGCTTACTGTGGGGAAAAGCCACTTATATTGATAATTCATCTTTCTCAATGGTCTTTGCCACCTTCTTTCCTGTCCTCTGGCCGTAGGAGATATGTCAGCATAAAATGACTGCTTCTCATTGGGTTTGTTCTTTGTGAGATATCTGTTGTTTGAAATGGCATTGGAACCCATGCTGTATTCAGAACTGTGGGTTGTAGCACCCACAAAGAAGCAGACGGCTTCTGCTGCTTTGCACCAACCTGGTGAAGTTTTCTTCTTCTTTTTTTTTTCTTTTTAAATTGTGAACAATGCCTGTATGCAGCTGGGTGTATATTGTGTGTCACAATTTGCTTTGCAGCCTTCAAGTCCAATGGATCAGATGGGGAAGATGAGGCCTCAGCCATATGGAGGAAACAACCCCTACACACAACAGCAGGGACCTCAGGCGGGGCCACAGCAAGGACATGGCTATCCAGGACAGCCCTATGGGCCGCAGACTCCCCAGAGATATCCCATGGGAATGCAAAGCAGGACACAAAGTACAATGGGCAGCATCTCGTATGCGCAGCAGGTAGAGCACCCAAGGTTCTGTAAGTCTCTGTTTGCAGCAGGGGCAGGTAGAGGAGCAAGAAAATACTGTGTGTTTTGAAGGAATCACCTTCCATCGGGTTGGAATTGGTTGGTTAGGTGAAATGGCATTTCTTGAGGCTGCAGGTGGAGTCCTTCCTTCCACAAGAGGCAGTAGCAGAGCAGTGAGTCAGAACCAAGGGAAAAATAAATAGTGAGGCGACTGAGATACACTCACCACTGCTAACAGTTCTGTTAACGACAGAACTGTTTCTTGCAGTGGAAATGACTTCCAGGTCAGTTCTGGCTCACTGTGTGAACTGAGTGCTTCCTGCTGGACTGTTAACAAGATACAAAAGGCTGCCTTTTTGTGGAGCAAGCCTTCTTTCCTTTTGATGTTAATGTCATCGAAGCATGGTCAGATAGGGATCCCTAAAAATTTAGTTATGGTGCCTATTAAAATTTTCTTACTGCTGAGAATAATGTCATGCACAAGTGACTTTTGATACTGTCTGGGAGGTTTCCTTACATAAGTAGTGACATTTCATGTGCCTTCCCAGTTAACTGCTCTGCACAGGTCTGCAAATTGTTTCTTCTTGAGCATAATATGACTGTGTGTATGTAAAATCACTCCTTAACTGGTACGATTCTACCCTCTTCTGTAGATTCCACCTTACGGACAGCAGGGTCCCAGCGCATATGGGCAGCAAAGCCAGCCTCCATATTACAACCAGCAAAGCCCTCATCCCCAACAGCAGCAGCCTCCGTATTCTCAGCAGACTCCATCCCAGACCCCTCACTCTCAGCCTTCTTATCAGCAGCAGCAACAGCCTCAGTCTCAAGCTCCACAGCTTCAGACATCGCAGCCTGCGTATTCTCAGCAGCAGTCCCAGCCGCCCCATCAGCAGTCCCCAACTCCATATCCTCAGCAGCAGTCCACAGCCCAGCAGCACCAACAGAATCAGCCTCCCTACTCACAGCAGCAATCACAGTCACCCTACCAGCAGCAGCAGCAGCAGCAAACTCAGCAGACAGCTTCCTCGGCTCTTTCTCAGCAGTCGTCTTCATACCCTCAGTCACAGCCGCAGCAGCAGCAGCCTGCATATTCCCAGCAACGCTTCCCCCCTCCTCAGGTAGGCTGTCTCCTGCTTTGCTTCCTTCTCTAAGCAGTTTTTAAGAAACTTGGGCAAATGGTTTTCTTGGTGGGTTTAAGCCAGTAGAAGTATGCATTGACAAGCTGGCTGGAATGATTGCAATAATAGATGTGCTGCTTCTCCGTTGTGTGTAGATCTGCATCTCTTTCAGAAATGTTACGTTGGTAACAGGCCGAGCTGCAGTAGTGCTGCAGTTCTAAAGACCAATTGCAAGTAAATGCTGTTCATCGACAGTGCCGGTCTAAAAGATTTCATAGTGGCGTGGTTTTCACACTGTGGTCTGTGGAAGATCTCCAGGTGGTCTGCAGAGCCACTTAATTTAGCACAATAGCAGAGCACTTCGGAGTTTTCAAAGAAAACAACCCTATTTCCTGGTGCTTTTATATCTGATCCCAAGACTTCAGGAGGTGTATTGATCATACAGAGGAACTGAGCATGGGAAAGCTCCGTGGGTTCCTTGCTGCTTGGGTGGAGTTTTTTCACAGGCGTTTACAGAAGGCAGCACACAAGTGGAGACGTACCCTGGAAAGACAGTTTTCAGAGTGACATGTAGATGGGAGAGTTTGCTCTTAAATGTAAAGCTTTGCTTTAAGGGGGAGAGGTAAAACATGAAGCATGGGGAATTGAAGATAAAATAAGAAATGTATTTTTTTTGCTGTGTTTATTTTCAGTAATATTTAATAATATTCTAATAGTCATGAAAAGCTAGCTGAGACCTTTAAGCAAACGTTGCAATGCGTCAAAAGTAGCTTTTTAAAATTAGGGAATTCTAATTGACTTGCAGCATTTGTGTAAAGAGGTACTTATAGCTGTTGTGTGGTGTTAGAAAATCAAGAAGCTGAGTGGGCAGTCTCCCAGCACAGTCTGTGTTGTTCAGGGTCTATCAGTAATAAGGAAAAGGCAAAGAATTACTATTTTGTTGTGATCTGGAGTTCTACACCCAGCACTCACCATGGCAGTCTGTGGAACAGTAGTCTGGCTTCAACTCTTTTCTGTCCTATTTCCTGATTTAAGCAAATGTCACTAAGGATACATAATTCTTCCACAATGTGAAAATATATTGGAGTGATTCCAGTTGAGCCTTTATTTTACTCCCATTTGTGATTTTTTGGGGGGTTGTTTTTTTAATTTTCCAGGAGTTATCTCAAGAATCTTTTGGCTCCCAGACATCATCTGCTCCCTCAATGGCTTCCAGTAAAGGGCAAGAGGATATGAACTTGAATCTTCAGTCCCGACCTTCTAGCCTGCCGGTGAGTGGTGAGCTGTTCTACAAGTGAACGGGGCGAGAGCAATGAGAAGCACAGCAGGATAAATTAGCAGTGGTGGTATTCCACGTGGAAATGGGAATGATGGAGACTGCCTGTGCTTTTTACTAAGTCATTAGCTTATGGTTTCCCACTGGAGATTAAATGTAATTTACAAAAGTAATGGATCTGAGAGTAAAGTTTACCCCTAAGTACTCTGGTCTGTGTGTTCTAGCCAGAAGATTTTTCTTGAGGTTTCTGTTCATAGTGTCTGAAGTACCCAATTGCTGTTACAGTAGGCTCTGACCTTCAGGAAAAGGTGTCTCATTTTATTTTATTCTGTTGTTTCTTTAGCCCACTGTTGCATTGGTTGTTTGTTGGCTGTGGAACTGTCACTGGAACCTCATGCTGCTGATTTAAGGTTTTTTGCTCTAATCTGACCAAATTGATTAAAAAAACAAACAAAAAACCAAGTTTATTAGTACCTGAAGTGAGGAAGATCAGCTGACAGAACGAAAAAGAAAATGTAATTCTCCATCTAAATCTGCTCCCAGTACGCAGAGTGAACAGTTGGGTATGAGATGAGTGCCTAGTTTTCCAGCAGATTTGGGCCAGAAGAGTTTAACTTTGGCTTCAGACTTCATAAAGGAAATGGAGGAGGGTCAGACGTTTAGATTAGTTTGCACAAGTTGCAACAGCAACTTGAGATGCTGGATTCTGATTTTTCTGTTTTTCTGGTTACTTTCACTTCTAACCAGTAGGAAGTGAGTGAGGTTTTTTTTGTTTGTTTGTTTTTGTTTTTTAATTTATTTAGCCATGGCTAAGTCTGTTTTCTGCTGCATTGGTGCACTCTGCAAAGGAGAGTGAGCTGTGTATATAGCGAAGTTATTTTTGTATTCAGCAGTAAGAACAGCTTTGTTATGAGCCCCTTGAAATAATTCCTTTGGATTGTGAGTACAAATTGTTACCCAAAATACAAAGTGATTCCAGTTCTGACCACCTGATGGGACCACCTTTTTTTTTTTTTTTTTTTTTTTCCCCCTCTTAATTTTTGGACCTTGCCTTTTTAATAGCACATTTCTTTCCACTCTGCCTCTCCACAAGTTCATCCATGTGACCTATCTTCTGGCAAAGAATGTAGGAAAAGTGAAGCCACTGAAGTAATTGAAGAAATTGCTTTAGTTCCGAAAGGGTGGAAGTCCTGTTCAGTAGCATTGTTGGTAGAGCCTTCGTGAGTCCTACCAATCAGCGCCCTCTGACTCAGATTATAGGAATTAGCTGCTCTGCTTAGCAAAGTGGCTCCTCAGCACCAAGTGGGAGTTTGTTTTATAGCCTGTGGTATAAAGTGTTTGGCCCTTTCAAGCTTTCCTTTTTCCCAAGCAGTTGAAGGAAAGATACCATCTCTGCTGTGAGGGAACTTACCCAGGTTAGAAGTTTTTAATGCTAATGAATTTCTCAACAGATATTCAGATATTCTGAAGAGAAATCCAGAGCACAAAAATTTGCTCCAGCTTTTAGTATCTGCCATCTCTCAAGTTTATTTTCTGTATTAAACAGATTTTACAGTCACAATATTTTCATATCTTTATCACCAAATCATGAGCATTTAGGAAATGAAGCAGTGTTCAGCTTACCCAGCCCTCACATGCTTCTGGGCTTTATCTTCTTCAGTAAGCAAAAAACACTGCATGGTACATATGTGTATGTGTGTACCTGTGTGTTTCTCAGTTCTTTGTCCTCTTGTAGGGCAGCACCAGCACTCCTATCTGTAAACTGAGAATGCATTGGATAGTGATGCTGTGCAATGGCTTAAAGAGGACCTCTGAGGTGTACAGAAATCAGCTCTTGGTTTCAGTGATGGATGTCTTGCAGGAAACGTGGCCTAGAGGTGCTTAGAAGCAGAGGAGCTACGTGGAAGGGTGTTAGCAATTTCTTTTATCTTCCTTATATATTACTCATTCTGTCTGATTTAGAAAGTTTTATCCTACCTGGGAGGATTCTTAGACTCCTATTTTGCCATTCTGTATGACTTACAGCATCATAGTCTGTGGGTTTTTAATTTTTTGTGGAGTTAAGTCCTCTTCCAAGCCTCAGTGGGCATTGTGGAGAACCACTCACTGGGTATCTTGGAATCTGGGCAAATCATATGATGCATCATCTTTAATTAAACACAGATCACTAGGAAAAAGAGGTTGCTGCTTTTAGGTATGTATTTGTGAAGTGTTAAATTTATGTACCAAGTGCCTTTACAAGTCTGTGGCTGTCACCCATTTAATACTATACATCGGCATTAATGCTGAAATTTCAAGCAACAAAGGCAGAAATATATATTTGGCTGACATAGTTGTCATTTTGTGATGTCCTAGAGATGGAAGCGTTGGTTTGGTGGCACTGTCAAGTTGTTGAACTGCTGTCAGGTGTTGCTGGCTTTCGTAGGACCTGCCTAACAATGAGAAATGTCACATTGGTCTCCCTGCGTCCTGGTCTTCAAGATACCCTTCCTTCCAATGAGTTTTGTGTCACTAACTAAAACTTCTTGATGATGTTCGTTTGAACAGCTTAAGAGTCAAACTACTGATCTCTCCAGTGGTTTGCCTGAACATCTTTAAGTAGCAAAATATCTTGTCTTTCATTTCTGTCCTAGCCTAAATATTTCTGGGTTTGTTGTTTTTTTTTTTTTTTTTTTCTGAAGGTTGTACTTATTGTGTTGGGGGAAAAGACTGCTGCTAGCTTGAAATCAGTGATGCTTTTTAGAGAGTAATGCATCTGCGAGAGTGTCCTGGCTGGGTACTCTTTTCCTACAGCAGTCAGGATGAAGAATTTCTCTGAAGAATTTGCTGTTTCCCTCGGGAATTTCTTGCCAGGCTTGCAGTTCAACTAAACTTAGATTCCTGTTGTGTATGGGAGAAGCAAAGTGTAGACTTTTGTGTCTGAGCGTAATAGAGGAATAGTAATCCATAGTATAAGTCTTATTCTCCCAAGAGGTTCCTCAGTCTTGTCTTTTCAGCAAAGAATTCTTGGCAAGTCATATTCCAGTTTATTTGGAGCCTCTACCTTTGCAACATGGATATTGAGTAAGTGGAAGTAAAATATTTCCAGCTATTAATTACCATCTGCTTAGACTTGGAAGGTGCTCTGGCAGCATGGGCAAAGGGGAAGCCAACAGGGTGCTAGGACGTCAATTTGGGTTTGAATTGAAGTCGGTTCTGCTGCAAAAATCTCTGGAATTTTGGGGCTGTTCGGAGTAATTTTGTATCTTGTTATGGAGCAAGCAGCAGGTCTGTTATGTTGCCTTGGTCTTTGTCTTATGGGCTATCGAGTGCAAGTTTCTGGTGTCTCTGAAGTAGATGCGGAGTAGAACATGGGATGTCTTTAGTTTGTTTGGCTGACATACTGTGTAGCTAGGGGGAGAATCCCTATTCCTTTCCTGAGTGTCTTACTTCCATCTTGTTGTGGAGTGGGAATCATTTCTATCTCAGTGTTTTTCACCACTGGGGAACTGTTGCTCAGTTTCATTCAAAGCATTTCAGCTTTGTTCATCACTGGCTTCAGGACTGAAATGTGTCTTGTTGATGGGAGGAAGGAATTCAACCGACTGCAAACAAATTCCTGATCTGTGTTTAACTCATGCATCTGCGCTCTGGTCTTGGATCTTTGTAGTGTGGATTTCACAGCATTAGATTTTGTGGGGAGAGGAAAGGTATCACAGTTGTAGGATATTTTTTGTTTGATTTCTTCCTCTGAAGTCATTTCTGAATGTGGAGACATTGGCAAGGGTAGCAGGGATTTGTGGGTCTCACAGGGAGGTCATTTCAGCTCTCACTCTGTGGGTACCTGAAGTGGGATAAAGTCAAACTCTGTCAGTTGCATCCCCTGATCTGGAAATAATCGTGGCAGCAGCCTGACATACAATGAGAAACTACCTCAGGGCTGCTATGGATAGCGGGGCTCAAGGAATTTTTCTGAAAACATTCCTTTTGGCAATTTCTTTTGGGGAAGGGGAGAAGAAACTTTTATAGTTGAATCTCTTCAGTGGCTTCAGTCACTTTCTTTTCCCCTCTGGGACTTCCTGCTTACGTTTTGGTTGTGTTTGATGTTCTGAGCATAGTCCTTGCCTCAGGAGAGGGATTAGTGATAGCTACAGGCCCTGGTGGCTGGGCATCAGTGGATACATGGGGCACTTGGGGACTTGCCCCAAGGAGCACAGGACCTGAAGCACCAGTGTTTATAGGATTGGTATGTTCCAGTTTCTGCTGGTAGGAAGGTTTCTATCCCAAGTTGTGGAGATCTGTGGAGTTCAAATGTTTTTTGTCCAAATGTTTTTTGTCCTGACCGGGGCTTCTCTACTCTTTTGGTGCATATGATTTTGGCAATCGTTTTTGTGTCCTTTCTTAAGCAAGGCTGTTTTTTTAAAAACTAGTTTTGTCCACAGCCTTTACAGGTCTGGGGAGTGCTGGGTGCTGCTCCAAGGTACTGCGATCATCGAGCTGCTGCGGCGAGCCCCTCTCAGGGCTGCTCTGCTCTTTGTCCAGTGGCAGCCGCTCTCATCTCCTCTGGGTCTGAGCCGAACTCACCCAAGCACCTTGGAGGAGCTCCTTGCCTGCGTGCAACTGGGCCAGCTCCAGGCTGCCCCGAGTGCTCTGCCTTCAGGGAGGGGTCCCTGCAGAAACCCCACAGTGCTGCTGGGGCGGCTCAGCTTCGCAAGAGCTGGCAGCAGATTGCGCTGTGCTCAGTGCTGGGCTCGTTTCCTGTTTCTATTCTTGTTGTCAGCAGTTCAGCTCTGCTTCCTGCCTGTGTGCCTCATGCAGATTCCCCTGCCCAAAGCCTTTTGATTTCTTAGGAGCAATTTCGGTTGCAGGCTGAACTGCAGAGCGGGGGTCTCGTGGGAGGGCAGGATGGCGGCCACAGCTAACTTGGGATTTGAGCACCCTGTGTTCCTAATGCAGGCAGACTCTGGCCTAGCTGGAGTGATGGGGGAGGGGGGCGTTAATCAGGAAATTGTTGTA